TCTCTGTACTCTTTGTATATCTTCCCTAGCCTTGAAATAAGGACAAGTTGGCCAACAAGCCATGGATCAACAGTCCTCAGACCTTGCTCTGATACTTCATAAAATGCAGCAAAAACAAAAGAGGGGAAATGTAGTAATATGACACCGAAACCTGCTGCTCCAAGGGAGCAAGGAACAAATAACAGAGCCTATGGAAATTTGTCCCTTGTATTCTGACAAGCTGGCTATAGGGTAACATTCCTGGAGGTGCCCTGTCTGTCCTTTGTTCCTTTACCTGGGATGTTACTGACTAGTGTAAACTTAAAGTTTGGTGAATGCTGGAAGGCAATGTAAATAGCAATGTATGTACACCAAATTAGTTATGCACATTCTTTACCTTGTTTTCAGTCTTCGGTAAAGGTGAGAAATTTCAGTGACTTGAGACTCACTTAGAGCAGGGCAAAGCTCATGAGTCCTCTGTAACTATATTAATCTTCTCATTGCTTCTTTCAGCTCCTACTAATTCAGTACAACAGTGGGCTGCTAAGCTGGGTGGGTTGTCTTCCACCCAAACCTTTGGGAAAATCTCAGTCCATTCTGGGAGAGTCTGTGAATTTGAGTATGCAGTTTTTGAAGGCTATCTCAGCCCAGTAGAGGGAAAGGGTGGTCTTGCATCAGCAAGGAGTGACTATGTGTTTGCCCAGTCGAACCTGTCATGGCTCATAGAATATGAAGAGGACTGGCAAGCCATGCTCTGACCTTGCATAGTCTGGTTGAGGAGTGGAGCAACTGGCTCAGTTACTACAGATAAATCTGCCCCTGCGTCAATTAAACTCACAGGGTTTGCCTCAATTTTTGTATGGGTTCCCCAGGGTCGGGAAACAGGGACCCATGCCCTCATCAGTCCGACTCGCCCACCACAAACATGATCTTTTTTCCCCCCTCTTTCTTTAGTAATCAGCTTTTGACACTCTCTGTTTAGGTGACCTTTCTCCTTACAATAAGTGCACCGGTGTGGACCCCGGGAATGCAGTGGCTGCCCTCTCCCCACACTTTTCTCATCTAACCCCAGGTCCAAGCTGCATGTAGCTGGCATCACCTTTCTTTTTTCCTGTCTATACCTCCACTCTGCATCTACTTTATCATGAAACAGCTTCTAAGTTATCTCAACTAGTTATGACAGGTTTTTCCCTTCAAACCCTTTTAATTTCTGCCACTTACAATGTATAACAGGGGCTGATTGAGCTGCAAAGTCCAAATTGAGAGTATGCGCACACTCAGGCACCTCCAGGTCAAATGGAATGTGCATCCGATAGGCTTCCATGACATGTTCAAGGAAAGCTGCAGAGCCCTCATTTGGTCCCTGATACACCTCTGCTACCTTGTGTAAGTTAGTGGGGCAATGTATAGTGGCCAAGAGCCCTTTCCTAGGGTGGTATGATGATCCCTTAAAGCTTTCATTCCATCCTCTGTATTATAATTACAATCAGGCTCCTCTCTGGGCAATACCTGGGCTACTGCTGCCTCTTTGTCCCTGGTTTCTAATCTTACTTGTTCTTCTCCTGCTCTTTGAATTCTATTTTTTTTCTTTGAAGAAAACAGACTCATAAAGATCTGTTGGCAATTATCCCAAGTGGGATGATGTGTTCTAAACACCAATTATAAAGTAAGGCTTGCAGTTGTTCTGTAAGTAGGGGATTCTGATTTTTCCAATTATACAAGTCACTAGTAGAAAAAGGGAGCTATTGGGGTACGCGTAACCTGGGCGAATGGCGCAGGGTTGGGCGGGCTTCTCTGAGGAGGAGCTGAGGCAGCTAAAGCAGAATAAAGATTTATTTGAACCCCCACGCCGTCTCCCTGTGAAGAAAACTCAACAGCTTCAGCGAGAAAAAGCTTTACTAGAACAGAGCCAAAAACTTGGACTTCTAGAAGGCTCAGCCTCATTACCTCCACACCAACGACTTTCTGCCCCCAAACAGAGAGCCAGCACTCAGAAGCCACATTCTTCTCCTCCTTGGACCTGTGCTAGCCCTGCTGCATTCACCTCTCCTGTTGGTGATGGGGAACTCCCGGGTACTGAAAAGTCAACTCAGGGAAGCAGGACTGGAGAATTCTCATAATGGGCATGAAAACTTGGAGGTCCTGCCTTCAAAGACAGCCTGCAATTTGGAGAAAAAGAAAGTGGAATTGTTAGCAAGAAAAATCTCATTGGCAAGTACTCCAGCAAGAACAACAACTAATGGAAGAGAAAAATAAATGTAAGAAAGCTCTTTTGGCAAAAGCTATTGCAGAAAGATCTAAAAGAACTCAAGCAGAGACTATGAAACTAAAGCGGATCCAGAAGGAGTTACAGGCTTCAGATGACATGGTTTCAGCTGACATTGGAATCCTCAGGAACCGGATTGACCGGGCCAGCCTAGAGTATTCATATGCACGGAAGTGATTTGACAGAGCTGAAACTGAGTATGTTAATGCAAAGCTAGATTTGCAGCGCAAGACTGAGATAAAGAAGCAACTCACTGAACACCTCTGTACCATCATACAGCAGAATGAGCTCCGAAAGACCAACAAGTTGGAGGAGTTGATGCAGCACCTTGATGTGCAGCCTGACGAGGAGTCCCTGGACCTTAAAGTAGAGATGGAAGTATTGCATTGTGAACAGGAGGCAGAGGCAAGGAAGCAAATGGTTGCTGTAGAAAGGCCATGTCAGCCTGCCCCAGAGGGTGTGACTCCAGGGCTTACTAAAAAGAGCAAAACCTCTCAAGAACAAGCTGTTTCCCCAAAGGGTGCTGAACAGTGTGAAAATTCCAGTAGCTTCTCCCATCCAAGTCCAGACTACACAATTCAAGAAGTTAATGATATTTCAGCTGCTCTCACCTCATGAAGAGTCAGTGTTCTTGTCATCTGATGATACTGAGTACAGTGTATTTTCTGCAGTAGGTTGTGCACTGACCTCTAGTAAAATCCTTGTAAAACTTAATGTTTGGATCTGTAACTAGCATGTGAATATGTTTGATCTTCCTAATTGTAATTTTATAGCTATGTAGCATGTTTCACCTTGATTTTGGCCCAGTTCTTTCAGTATTCTTTTAACTGTTGTTGGGTTAAAATAAATGGCAGAATGGAATAGCCTGATGTCTTTGTTCCATCCTTAACCCCACAAAAAAGAAAACTACATGGTTGGGGTGGCTTTAGACCAGGTACATAAAACTACACTAAAGCAGGATGTAGTAACACACACCTGTCACACCAGTACTTGGAAGATAGCAGGAAGACAGAGTTCAAGGCCAGCCTGGGCTGTATAGCTTGATAATGTCTTCAAACACCAAAAAAAAGTGGCGTGCACTAACTAGTCAAACCATTTAACTTCTCCTGGGAGAAATATTGAGAATGGAAGGTTTATGTAATCTGCAAAAGCATATAAAACTGACTATGTGAAAAAGAGCTAGGGGCTGCGGAGATGGCTCAGTGGAATAAGCGCTTTCCTGGCAAGCACAAGGACCTGAGTTCAATCTCCGGTTCCGAGAAAAAAAAAAGAAAGAAAGAAAAAGAGCTGAGTATGGTGGTAATGCCACCTCTTGGGAGATCTCAAGTTCAGGTCCCACCTGGGACAAATTAGTAAGATCCTATCTCCAAATACAAAATTAAAAGGGCTAGGGGTGTAATTCAGTGCAAAGGGCTTCGGTTCAAGCCCCACAGTGCAAGAAGAGAAAGAAAATTATCTCTGGGTCTTTGTAGCTAGACTGGAAAACAGCTAGGGAATTATACTTTATACAAAAGAATAAAACAGTTAAAGCTCACACTATTTTTGTCCTTTTGTCTTTAATATGTATTTAAATAGTTTTATTTGTAACCTGATTTTTTGTTTGTTACTATAAACACGTGTAGGTATAAACACTATATATGTATGATTTTACTTTTAATATTTTTTTAGTCAATGAATTTATTACATTTAGACATTGAAAATTTTTGTAAAATAATACAGAATGTTGTATTGCTTCTTTTGATGTATTTTTTTCCTGAAGTTACCTAATATCTGTTTTATAGGTTGGGCATAAATTCTCTTGTTATTAAGCAGTTTAGATTGTTAAAACAGTGACTTATCGCTTTAATTACCTATTACTAATACATGACCACTACATTGTGCTTTGTGTGATGTGTATATATGTGTATATTATGTTTTTTCACAAAAATCTGTGAATATATTTTAAATTATAGTCTTTATCAGAAATTTGCATTAAAGGGACTATACAAAAGAAAATGACAGCTGCACTATTGTGTCCATTATGTTAGGGATATCCTGTTTTAAATGAGTTTGAAGATATTCTGATAACACAAATGAGCTTTTGTACTTTTATATAATTTCAGTTGAGTGTGTAAATTTCTATTATGAACTTCTCTAAACAGAAGCATTTATGCAGATAATTAATATTTTTATTTATGAATACTGTACATAGAAATTGAAAGTTTCATTACTGAGGACATTTATTTTTCTAAGAAATAAACAAATGTGATGTAAAGAAAAAGAAAAAGGGACATACACCAAAGTAGACTGGAAGGTTGCTCCATGCTCTACCATTGTCATCTGTCCAAAGGGAAAAACTGAAGTCAGATCAGAAGAGGAGACCTCTTCATACCCTGCATGTTCCACAAGCATAGGAGAGGGTTTCCGGCATCAGTGAGATGGGCATGGAGGCAGAGCGCCAGTGTGCCAGCATCCCTCGCTCAGTTGTGGAACTAAGGCAGGTTCTCCCTCAGCCTGTGTATGTGGGAGAGGACCCTCATCAGGAGCTGTCACCCCAGAAACAAGATGGGGTGGGGATGCCATGGTACTCAGGATGAGGTGGTTGCTCTCTTCTGGGGCTGATGGCAGAATGAGGGGCTTTGACCCTAAAAACCTGTTCCTAATAACAAGAACACAATCAGGAATTCCACAAACATACATTCTAAGCCATTGAGGCAATGTCTGAACCACACAAAGCCAGGAGTCTAATGTATGGAAAGTGATCTCTGTGCCCTGGCTTCCCCGTTACTACCTCCCGCACTCTACTGACTATGTGAGACTCTATCATCCCCTTGGCTGGCCAGCCTACTCCAAAGGAAGGCCATTCTCATGTACACAGCATGTTAAGTTTTCATCTTGTCATTTTTACTCCATATTTACCTTTAAATTTATCAAAGTTCCTGATTGCACAATCCAGCATGGTTGGTTTGTAGTTAGCATCCTCCATAAAGAAATCCCAAGCATGCTCCCACTCAGTCCGCACAAACAGTAAACATACAAGACTAATGCAATTTGGCAATAACTACAGAAAAGTGAAGCAGGGGCTGGTGAGATGGCTCAGTGGTTTAAAGCACCTACTTAGAACAAGTTTAGCAAAGCAGAGGGACCATGGTTCAATCCCCCAGCACCACATGCCAGACAGCCCCGCCCCCTAGTGGGCTGAGCTGGCCACACACACACACACACACACACACACACACAAATAAAAATTTAAAAAAAAAAGTGAAGCAACTGGGCAGGGTCTCCGTCTTTCTGGGTTTCCAAATAGATGGCTCCAAGTGGCAGAAAGGGCAGAAGCAGGACAATTACAACACCCCCCAGCCCAGATAACTGATTCAAGTGTGACCTGAGGGAATGGGCGCATCAGGGAATGCAGGCACATTGGGGAAGACAGAGAGCAAACAGTTCAGACAAACAGGCAAAACAGACAATATCCTGGGAAGAAATTTGGTCCTCTCAGACCTATCGTGCACCAATTTCAAAGCTTCAGAATGGTTTAGATCAAAACAAATGCAGAGGCAATCTCTGAGTAAAGAAACAACCAATGTAACAAATCTCCCAGGACTCTTGTCTGGGGAAAATAAAAAACCTCTCAAGCCTCTTTGTCTGAGAGAAATAATAACCAACAAAACGCTATCCATTGTCTGGGAGCAGGGGCCCTTCTAAACAAAAACCAGTCTTGTTAAGAATGAAATGAAAGCCAATTATGTCTTACCCAGTTAGAGAACGTGACTCCATTTGTCCCCTCCACAGCCATGGCGTACAGCCCTCAATTGCTCCTAGATGGCTAGCCTAACTCCATTATGTCACCAAATCCACCCAGAAGAGACCTACAGGCAGAGAAGGCAGGACCCCCCTCAACATGAAGGTCTTTCCCATGGAAAATCTTACTGGGTCCTCCAGATGAAAGGGCCTGAGATAATTCCATGAGAGATGAACATGGGAAAAACAGAGTTTAATCCAATTGAGCTAGCCACTGAGCATTCCCAGTTAGCAAGTCAGAACATTTTGGTGCTATCCCTCCTTTGTTTTTTAGTCTCCAGGGCAACCACAATGGAATGTTGCAGTTGTTTTTTGTTTGTTTGTTTTTGCTTGTTCAGTACTGGGGATTGAACTCAGGACCTTGCACTTGCCAGGCAAGGGCTTATGCCATTGAGCTATATCCCCGGCCCTCTACAGTTGTTGATTCAAGTGATTGCAAGTTTTTTAAAAAAATTCTATTGTGGCCAGGTTGGACATCTGTCAGAGCTTAATAGTGATCCAGTGTTTTAACATACCTCCGGTTCTTTGCTCTGGTTACCTTGTTTATAGCCTTTCATGGTTACAATGTTTTAATTGGGAGGGAAGGGGTGAAACAAACTAGACAGGGTCATGGGAAACTGACTCTGCCTTAGTGACTCCCATTTCTATGATAGGCTCCAAAGGCTGGGTTCAAAGCAAGTAAAAAAAATCAGCAGAGCAAACATTGAGTTCCATGGATACATGTTCAGCATCTGAAGCAATCTGTGACACATTGTGAGCTCCAAAGGTCTTGGATGCCTCCAGTCCTATGGCACTTCTGGTGATTGTAGCTCCAGTGACTTCTTTCTTGAGCTTGTTTTGCTCTTTCCTTGCAGCTTTCCTTAGACAATCCATGTTCCTGGTTTTGCCAGTCTTCTGGGGTCTCCATGGCACCTTTGGCTTCACCCTCACAGCTTCACATATTGCCCTCTCAGGGTCATGCTGCCTGGCTTCCCAGGCCTTCTGAAATTGTAGAAGCCTTCTTAACCCCCCACATACCTAAAACCACATGAATTATGCCAAATTCAACTGCCAGCTGGAGCAGAAGCCAGGCTTTCCTCTCTCTTGGCTATAAGGATCAGGTGCCTGGATCACTGGGCACTCTGAATCCAATTCTGAGGAGCAAATTTTCTGTGCTGCCACCATGAAATATAGTGCTCTGTATCTTTGTCCTTAATGTGAGGTCTGTTTTGCAGTTGTGATGCTGAAAAGGGAGGAGAATTGCCTCTTGTGAATGCCCTTAGGTCATTTTTTCCATTCTCCTGTTCTTTCTCAGCAACTGAGATTTCCTTAGCTCTGTCCTTGTTGTAGTCCACAGCTTAGCTGGAGCTTCCTTTTTGGCAAACTCACATTATTTTATATTATCCTGCTGGGCTCTTTGATCTTGATTCTCAACATAAATTTGGCTAAAAGGCCCCAACAATAGCCAGGCCACTGCCTCAACATTTGACCGCCCTGGAATTTCTTCTGCCAGATTAATTTTGGTCCTTACTTTCAGTCTCAGGCAAAGTCCCAAGACATGAGCAAAATGCGGACAAACTTTCTGTCAAGCCATAACACACATCATTTGAACTCCCAACAACCAGTGCACTTCTTCCTGGAAGAAACCTCCTAATCCTGGTCTTTATCTTTCAGATTTCTATTAGCCTTCTGGTCTTCTTAGCTCTGACTAGAATCTCTCATACAGAACAACCTAAGGCATTCTACTTTTATTTCTTCAGGCAATATCTCTGAACCTTTCCAAACTCTTCTAGCCATTCCCAAAGGATCTTGAACCACATAGTCAGATATAGTCACAGAAATTTTCCTATTCTCAGTACTAAATTCTTAGTTTCTTTTCTCTTGTTGCTGAGACAAAATACTTGATACTCAAAAGTAAGGAAGAAAAGGTTTATTTTGCTCAGTTTGTGGGAGTTTCATTCCATAATCAGCTGGTGCCAATGCAGGGTGGCATGGTGAAGGGCAACAGCACAAGAAAACAGAAGACAGCAAAGGCAACAAGAGCAAAGGAGAGGGAGAGAAAGCTTTTTTTCCTCCCCTATGTTGTATTGAGGCTTCCTGCCCAAATGATCTCTGTGTCCTCTTGCACCAGCTCAGGATGCTTGTGAAGTGAGGACTCTGGCTCCCTGCTGAATCAATTAAATTTCTAAACTTCTCAATTTTAAACTTCTAAACTTCATGTATCAACCATTACAGAGGACAAATGATGTCCAGCAGATATTTGAGGCAGCAAAGCAGGTTGTACAGCAAGCACAAGCCTTACAA